CTGCATCACTTTAATCTCTGCCTCTGTCCTCACATGGCCTTCCCTTCTTCCAGGGTCTCCTCTCTGTGTCTCACATAAGGACACTTGTCACTGGATCTAAGGTCCACTTGAATAACCCAGGGTCATCACATTTTGAGGTCCTTAATTTAATTAATTCTCCGAAGACCCTTTCTCCAAATAAGGTCATGTTTGCAGGTTCTGGAATGTGGACATATCTTTCTGGAGGTCTACCATTCAATCCACTATGCATCTGAGTTAGGGGGCGCCTGGTGGCTCAGTCAGTTAAGCGTCCACCTCTTGATTTTGGCTCAGGTCACGATCTCACGTTTCGTGGGTTCAAGCCCAGGGTCGCTTTCTTGCTCTGCCGTGGCAGCACAGAGACTGCTTGGGATTCTCTCTCGCTCTCTCTGCCCCTCCCCACTCTCATGCTTACTCTCTCTCTCTCAAAATAAATAAACTTAAAAACATACTTAAAAAAGAAGTCAGTGAAATATTTTAACCATTCTCTATCTGACATTAACTCCTTACTCTAGTTTTTCCTTCCTCTATCCCTGCCAGTCTTCCTGCCCCATCGGCTTTCTTAGGAGTTTCTGCTTTCACTTCCTCCAGGAAGACTTCCTTGACCACTGTTGTCTTGTTCACCTTTACAGGCCCAGCATTTAGTGTAGTCCCTGGCATATAAACACGGCTTAGTAAACATTTATTGAAAAAACAAGTGAATCTATGAAAGGAGGCCAGTAATGCTGCCCACCTTTCTATTGAGTTACTGAGAAGCGGTTAGTTTTCAGAGACGCCTGGGGAATTTCAGGCAGAAGATGAGACTTTCTTTACAGAAGATCTGTTCATTCCAGAAGGCCTTTCCATTGAAACCACACCACAAATATTTAAAGGGAATAAGATGTGCAACCTAAGCCGTTTTTTTATTCTCAAGGCACAGGAATGTAGGGAGTTAAAGACAAATGCCATGCTTTCCACGGGGCTGATAATTTTAATGAACACTGAGCAGTTTGGGGCAGTGGGAGCTTTTGTGCTTTGGAACGTGGAGGATGAGTTCTTCTGATGAAGGTTTCACGATGTAACTAGGACAGGGGTGTGAAGGAGATAAGAGGCTTTATTCAGACTGTGAAACTTCTCTTGATGTAGAGCAGCCCCAGTTAGATATACCAGAGATAACTTGACTTGTTAAAAGCAGTTTAAATGGCACATTTGAGGCTTTATAATTGATTTAAAAACTGATGTTGCTGGGGCGCCTGGGTGGCTCAGTCAGTTGAGTGTCTGACTTCGGCTTAGGTCATGGTCTCGTGATTTGTGGGTTTGAGCCCCACCGTCGGGCTTTTGCACTGACAGCATGGAAACTGCTTCAGATTCGCTCTCTCTCTGTCTCTCTCTCTCTCTCTCCTGCCCCTCCCCTGCTCACACTCTCGCTCTCAAAAATAAATAAACCTTTTAAAAAACCCACAAAAACTGAAATTGCTGTCTTAAAAGCCAGCAAATTGCTGGGAACCCACCCCTTCCCCCCAGTAGCTTTCTGAGAGGTAATTCATGGTTTCAAAAACTATAAATGTTGTTTTTGAGATGGAAGCTTGATCCTGAATTGAGTGGTATTTTTACCTGGGATTAGGGGCTCTGAAATAGAATGTCAAGGTTTTTTGCTTCTTAAAGACAGTTAATGAATGTATTTGGTCTGTTTTCCTTTTCTCACTGCCTGACTACGGGGAGAGAATTGCCTGAGTCTGACTCTCTACCCCACTCTTAGTGAGTGTGATCTTGAACATGAGCCTTCAAACTTACTTCGGTGACTGGCTGGGGAAATAAGCTTCCGGACTAGTGTTTGTTGGGTTGCAAAGTAACCATGAGTGTCTACTACTATGCTGCAGAATATTGCATTTCTGGTTGAGGATATTATAAATATTTGGAGTTGCTTTTGAGAATCCTTAAGGAGAATGTGGACAGAAAAGACAGAAAATAAGGCTTTACCATTTAGAGGCAAAACTACAGATATCTACCTTTTGTTTTCAGCATCTTTGGTGATTTTAGCACCTCTGTCAACAACAAATCCAGTAATAGTCATAGGTGCCCACTCTGTCAGGCAGCCTTCTGGCACTGGGGCAATATCACTGAGCAAAAGACCAGAAATTCTGGCTTCATGTAGCCTACATCCCAGCAGAAGAGATAATTAGCAAAACACACATCAACTAACTTTTTTTTAAGTTTATTTATTTTGAGACAGAGGGAGAGAATGAGCATGGGAGGGGCAGAGAGAGAAGGAGACAGAGGATCTGAAGCAGGCTCTGCACTGACGTCAGAGAGCCCAAGGCAGAGCTTGAACTCACAAACCATGAGATCATGACCTGAGCTGAATTGGAATGCTCAGCCAACTGAGGTGTCCCCTCAGGGCAGGTGCCCCCACCAACTAACTTATATAGAAGGTTAGAAAAGGACAAATGCTATGGAAAAAAGTAGAGCAGGGGAAAGGGTATAGGATGTGGGGGTAGATTGCAAGTAGGAAAAAGGATGGCCAGGTGGGCTTCTTTGAGAAAGGGCTGTGCCTGCAGATGTGAGGGGAGAAGCAGAGAGAACAGCGCAAAGGCAATCCCAGTAAATGCAGCTGAGGCATGATGGAGATGTGGACCTGAGATTAGAAATGGAAAGATGAGGGGCAGCTGGGTGGCTCAGTTGGTTAAGCGTCTGACTTCAGCTCAGGTTATGATCTCAAGGTTCATTAGTTTGAATCCCACGTCAGGTTCTGCTGACAGCTCAGAGCCTGGAAACTGCTTCAGATTGTGTCTCCCTCTCTCTCTGCTCCTCTCCCATGCACATTCTGTCTCTTTGTCAAAAATAAATAAACATAAAAAAAAAAAAAGAAGCGGAAAGATGAGACATGGACAACTTCTGGGCATGTCCTGAAGGCAGAACTATCTGGATTCCTGATGGACGTGATGTATGAGAAACAAGGAAAACCCTATGTCTTTTGCCTGAAAAATCAAAGTGAAGAAGCTGCCATCAACTGGGCTGGGGGGGGGGGGGG